GTAAATGTTTCTGGAGGGTCAGCTAGAGGAAGAAGGCACAAAGAAATGACAGGTGAGCTGCCTCTAAACCTGCACACACAGCTGAAGCTTAAAATAGAATGAGAAAAATAAAAATGTAAAACTGACGGAGGTAAAATGCTCTGCTGGAACAGGACTTAAAATAAACCCCTTAGATTGTCCTTTGGTTAAAATGAGCAGATGGACTGAAAAGGTTAACCGAGTCCTTGGTTTGGTTGCTTTCCAGAACTTTACATATTTAATGAATGGAGTTTATGAAAGTTGTTCTAAAATTGAAGCAGTAGGTTTCAGACAAAGGCTCCATTAAAAAGCACGTTGGGTTTTTAAATTGGTTTTATTTCAGTGAGCTGGTCAGATGCAAACATTATTTACAGAGTTTTTGGTTTTGTTTGTTTTCGGCTCCATCAGCTGGAACCATTTTACCAAACCTTCACATGTTTTTAGTACTTGTGTTTTAGTTAAGTAAAGGTAACTTACCAAACTACCAGACAGACAAAAGTGAAGCTGCTGTTAAACAATAGGTTTCCTCTGTTTATTTTTAAATATATGTATAAAAACATACATTCAGCATACATTTGAGCCTTCTCAAAGGGGCACATCATTGGTAAAATATCACAAACATATTTCAATAAAGTGTTGAAGCATGTTTGCTTATTCTTCTTTCCCTTAATACAGAAAACTACAAACCATGGAAGCATTAAGAATGAGGGACCCAGCTCAAACACTATAAGGTCACATATTTATAAAAAAACAAACACCAGTAAGACAAATGAAATAAAGGCAGACTCCTAGAGAAACACTCCCCCTCACTCACCGATACACATCCAAGGTGCAGACACTGAGTGCGTTTACATGCAGCCAGTAACCCTTTTAAAACCCGAATATTCACAATAACCCGGTTCCGAAAGGCCATGTAAACACCGCCAAAAACCCGGATATGCTCATAACCGGGTTTTTAAAAACCCGGGTACTACACCTGGGGTAACCCTTTTCTAACTCGAATGTTTTGTCGTGTAAACGCATATCGGGATATCCCCATCAAAGCGTGTGTTCTGCGCATGCTCTGTTCGCTAGGAATCTTGGTCTTTTGAGTAGCGAGACGTCTTGTACGCGCCAGAACTCCGGAAGTAAACAACAAGTTGGGAGCAACATGGCGAGTCGCGGCACAGCACCACACTTTTGGAGTGACGAGGAAACCTCTGTCTTCATCGGTCTGGTGAAAAGTATGAACATTATGTCTTTTGTTGACGGCCGAAAGTACAGAGACAGCGAAATATACAAGAAGGTAACCGCATATTGCGTCTTGACGTAGTCCATGTGTCCTGACGCTACCCCAACATCCGCATTTAAATCGGGTTATGCAAGTTAGGGGTAACTCTTTCTATTTATGCTTGTAAACGGGTTATTCTGATCAACTCAGAAACCCGAATCCCGACCTTAACCCGATCATAACCCGGATATTGGCTGCATGTAAACGTAGTCACTGAGGTGGTGGATACCTTTAAGTACCTGGATGTTCACCTCAACAGTAAACTGAGCTTGCTCAACAACACAGATGCTCTGTATAAGAAGGGCCAAAGCCGCCTCCACCTCATGAGGAGGCTGAGGTCCTTTGGAATTAATCTGCTATTCTGTTGCTGGCTCTGTTGTTCACTCTGCTATGGTCTGATGGGGTGTAAGCAGCTCTAACCAAGACAGGAAGAGACTGAACAAGCTAGTTTAGAAAGCTAGCTTGGTTCTGGGCTGCCCACTGGATCCTGTTAAGGACGTGTGAGAAAGGAGGATGCTGGGGAAGCTGATTTCTGGGGGAAATCAAATTCCACTGTGGAGACCATGGACAGCTCCTTCAGAAGTAGACTGAGACATCCCAGATGTAAATCAGAACGCTATAGAGCTCCGGACCCCATGTGACTCTCAGTTAGTAGACGCCATTTTGGCAGGTAAAAAAATGTAAACAAGCACATGAACGTGAACGGGATCCGCTTGGATTTTACTTCGTCTGAGTTTACTTCACACTTTAAAACCGAAGAAATCGTTTTATATAGTCAGAAATTAAATAGACTAAACATCTCCGACCCTTACCGTGCCCCTGGGATACTTTTTAAAAATGCCAGAAGCTGTCGGAGCGGACTTCTTACTGGACCTGGCCGGGGAACCCCTTGGGATTTACCCGGAGGAGCTGGCTCCGGCGGCTGGGGAGAGGGAAGTCTGGGCCTCTCGACGCTACAGCCCCCGCAACCCGACTCCGGATAAGCGGATGAAAATGGATGGATGGATGGACAAATAACAGATTTACACGTAAGTAGTTTAAATAGAGTGCTGTGCTGTTTGAATGTATAAACTGAACGCCAAGAGAAATCACTAGTTTGATTTTTTTCCGTGAATAAAATAAATATGTCAGGCAGGAGCGTCTCAGGATCTGTCTGAGATCTGTCTCGGTGAGACAGATAATAGCAATCCAAAGTGATTTTTATGTGTGGTCTGACAATTGATCAACCACTGCTTAAAAATTAAATACAGCTTAGCCGGTTAATTGCTGCGATCACAAAACACGTAAACGGCAGCACGCTGAACTCACGAGGCAACGTTTTACGTGTTGTTTACTTGTTGCTGTGAGTAAAAAGACAGAAAAAGCCACGCCAAAATAAGTTTAGGAAGCCCACTAAGAATCGTAATAAAAGCATTTAAAATAAATACCATACACAGTTGAGGAAACGTTGGTTTAAGTACCTGATATGAAGCGGTCGCTGCATAAGCGAAAACCTTTACTCTCGGGGTCCCACAGTTTCATTTTAGCCCGGTCACTAGCGCATTTTATTACAATGATCCAACGTTTACGGCGCTCCGGATCTTGGGGAATCCTGTAGATGGCTCATTCCTTATGTCGTCCGCGTCTGTTCTGCATCCTGGGGCACAACAGGAATCTACCATATTTCCCGTTTGATTGAGTTTTCTGACAATAACAAATAGTCCAGATGCCGGCTTCTGCATGCCAATATGGCGCCGTTTCGATTTGAACTGTTGCATGCCGGGAGAAGTGACGTCAACTCCCGGAGCTCTATTGTAGGTCATTCATCACCTTTGCAGTAACAGTGTATAACTCCTCAGTTTAACTGGTACTGGCATTATCTTGGTACACAATAACATCAGTGCAAATGTGTTAAATACCTTTGCAATACCCGGATTTATAATTTTATGTCTGTACTGTTTTTTCTTGGAAACTCAATTTTCAGTTATTATTCATTATTTTAATTGATGAAGGTTAAAGTAACCATTCTATTCTTTTATCAGTAAAGATGAGAAAAAGCACTTTATTAGTTAGTAAAATCAGCTTGTCACCACTATTAACAATCAGTAACATCACTTGGTGCACCTGTATGCAGATGATGTGTGGATTTACAGCTCTGACCCCAACCTGCCTCCCTATAAGCCAAACCTTGCAGAGGGTTACTTTAAGCGTTCAGAATGAAGACAAAAACAATCTGGACTCTTTCAAATCTGAACTTTCCTTGTTCTGAGGCTGAGTCAGGAACTCTGTCCAAATATAGATCCTAATTGAGGATTCACTCACTTTAATCCCCTCTTTCTGTAACCGGTGAACAAATAAAATTGAAGCAAGACCTTTGTTTTAGAATATAATCATCTGTTTATTTTAAAGGACAGAAATAGTCATTATTACTTGTTTAAAGCCAGATCTGGGTGCAACAACCACATCAAATCTAGTTCTAAAGGCATTTGTTCACATAAAACTTTGTCCACTGTCGAACTAAAATCTTATCTGTATAATTATTATGGAATTGGGCTCTAATTTTATTCTTTTTTCCCCAATTAAAACAACTTAATTCTTTACTAAAAAGCAAACTCTCTGATTCAAAAAGGCATTTGAATGAGTTTCAGAACAAAACACCTTCTTCATCTCCCATCCACCCCATGCAACAACATGATCTATGGCTTCTGAGGATGTGAGACATCAGTCTGGGTTGTCACGGCGACGACTTGTTTTTATAGGTAATGATGCTAAATTACACAACCAGGAATGAAGGAGGCCACTAAGTCATCCATCAGGGGCTGGTTTATATGAACTGCCATCAGGGGCATTCTTCAAACTCCCCCAGTCCACTCAGACACACAGCTCTCTGTCCCTGACTTGTCTCTATTTCTCACACACACACACACATGCGCACGTGCGCGCGCACACACACACACACACACACACACACACACACACACACACACACACACATACACACACGTTTGCCACAAGCTACTAGAGGGGACATCTCATTCTTTCATCCACGGCGAGTCATTGTGGTGGTGTCAGCCGGTGCCGTCTCTTTTATCACACTGGAAGCTAATGGAAGCAGCAACTGCAGGAGGTGGTGGTGGGGAGAGAATGCAAACTCACACACACGCGCACGCACGCACGCACACACACACACACACACACACACACACACACACACACACACACACACACACACACACACATGAGTTTAGGGAGATGGGGCAGGCGGGCACGCCAGACCTTGAGGCTGGAGCTTTTTTGTGGCGATGCTTTTTTTCCTCTTTTTTCTGTATCTTCTCCGTCAGCTGGTGTTTCTGACACTCAGCAAACCACACAGCAAGGATTCCTGCGCGTTTCTTCTCTTACAACTTTTATTTTCTTCATCAATAATGACTTTTGTTCCCGTCCCCGACACCTGGCAGAGTTATGCTGGATGTCGTCTTGGCCCTAAACTAGACAAAAGGCCTTTGCTGTAAATGAAACAGACGAAGGAAGCATTGCACTTCATAATTTTTTTCTTTTTTCCCTTAAATCTATTGACTGGAAACACTCCACGGACAGGGTTTATTTACAAGAGCAAAACAACGGCTAATTACTGCAGGAGGATTCAGAGCAGTGTACATCTTTTAATAAGAGAGTTGACCTATTTTCCTGGAGCGGTGCTGCATTTAAATCAGGGACACATGCCAGCCACATGTTGTATTCATAATTTCTATAACTCTTTATTTGTTCAGTCTTATATATTTTTTTCGGTTTGTATAACAGAACAATCGTGCTTTATCATTTGACACCATTTAGATACATATCATGTTTATATTATGTTTTACATTAGGCAGTGAGACAGTTAAAAATATACAAAACAATAGAATTTAACTAGACATAGTTTCTATCTTTAATATAATCATCAATATCTTCATTGTCATCATCATCTCATATATTTCTATAAGATATGTGCTTTAGCTTCTGTGGTCAAAATATTATTGCAGAAAACAGCAACGTCCATTTTTTCAACATTTAGACAATAACTTCCAATGTAGTACAGACATTCACAGTTACATGTTTTACACGGTACAGTTTTACAACGAACTTCCAGAGAAAAACTGTGGTAGAGTTAACTTTATACAAAATTCACAGGACATGAACTTGTAGCCATTTCACTTTTTTATTTTTTCGCTCGGTTGTGTTGCCTTTCCGAGGTGAACCTGTTCTGCTCAACCGGATGCCTTTCTTTCACAGTAGCTGCCGTGTAGAAGCAAACTCACATTGTCCGAACACGCTATGGCGAAAACGTCTGGAAAATTAAAGCTTTGTGCTTTTTTCACTAGGCGACCAGAAGACGACAGGAACAGAAACAGACCACTTGCTCACCGGCCTGCACTGAAACACCTACATATGTATTGCTGAATACATACTGATCCAACTATGACTGATCGTGACACGTAGAGAAAAATGAAATCATGACTGTACTTAAACACAGAGTTGGTCCCGTTTTTTAAAAATGTTTTCAGTTTTTTTTTTGTGCCAGCGTAAAAAGTGGTATTTTATATTTCTGCCAGTCATGTAAACAGACTATGGCTTGTCTAAATTATTTTCTACTGGCTTAAGGCCTTTTTTCTTTGTCAGGAGACATTTGAGAAACTTTGTTCCTGAGGAAACCATGCAAACGTAAACAGGACTGACTGTCAGCATCATAAAGGATAGTCAATGTTAGTAAATCACTTTTTAACCCTGTGCTTCTTCTTCTTCTTCTGTTTATTGTACGTTTGTGTACCCTGTGCTTTGCCGGCCAAATACTAAAACGGCATAGTTTTTGCTTTTGTCTGCCTATTGATTTTGGTCCTTTGTTTCAACACACATACATATATATATATATATTTATATTTATATATATAGTATAAAACATCCTAAAAATAATTCTAAAAATGCTTTGATCACATAAAAGTTTTATCTCTCTCTTTTTTTCGCTGAAAAAAGGAAGGGAAAATAACAGTCTCTCTCTCTCACACACACACACACACACACACACACACACACACACACACACACACACACACACACACACACACACACACACACACAAAATCTCTTGCAACAAACGCTGGATCGCTCCAGAGCTGCTAAACGTGAACTTCTTACTGGCATTGTGATTAGCTCAGAGCTCCCCGTTTGCCTCGCGGCATTGTAGTTTGACCTCACAGAGAGCGACGTTCGGAAAGAGACAACTGTGTGAGGTTCAGTAAACATCCACAAAAAATAAACACGACGCCATCCCTTGCACTCCTCTATGATGTTAAGTTTGTTTTACTACTTCGTCTACAATAGTCACACGGTATTTACTTGATTCATGAAGATATTCAACAAATCTCTAATCTATGTCTCAAGGATTTTTTTCTTTTCTCACAGTATTACACAGTATGTTTACAATTTTTTTAAAATTCAGAATTCCGGTTGTATTCGTGAACTCTAACAGTCTTTGATGTTGTTATCAGAACGCAAACCAACAGCGAGACATCGTTGGCTTGATTTAACAAACGCAGAAAAATGAAACATGGTTTTAAAATCGGTTTGGATCACGTATTGCCCTCGGAGGTAGGTAAATCAATTAAAATCTTGGAAGTCCTTTGCAATGTTCTTTTTTGTCTAAATGCTCCATGAGGGTTTCTTTGTTTACACGTTGGCCTCGGCGTTGCTCAGGTTAGAAGTCGGGCTCGTCGGTTTGGGGGGATTGACGGGCTCTGTTGGGCTGGTTGGGTTTGGAGGCGGGCTGGTTGGGCTAACAGTTGTCATGATGGGGTTAACTGGACTGGTTGTTGTGACTGTGGTGGTGATGGTGGCGGTGGGGCTTGTTGCCGGGTTCACTGGGCTGGAGGCTGGATTAGCTGCTGCTGGAGCAGGTGCCGCGGGGCTGGCGGTGTTAGCGGGGGCGGGGCTGGTGGGGCTGGCTGGATTGTTAGGGCTGGAGAGGTTAGCGGCGTTGGTTTCTGCTTGCTGCTCAGGTCCGTTCTCCTGACATCGCCTGGTGACCGCGGGAGGCTGAAACATTATTCGAAGGCGCTGGAACAGAAACATGCAGCAAATCAGGCATGTCAGTACAACAGATCTCACCATGGAACATCTACCAGCACGAACCACGTTTCATTTCCTTCGTACCTCCTTGTAAGTGCCCTTGAGACCAAGATACATGTAGACCATGTATCCTGGTATGAGGACCATAGAGGACAGCGCCATGAGCCAGCCCACTCCCTGACCCCAGCCTGGGAACACGTAGTCTCCCATCGTGAGAGGAACCATTTGAATGGCGCTGAACAAGAACACGCCCTGTGGGAGACATTATGCATCCTGACACATCCGACTACAGGCAGCATGGCTGCAGCCTGGCGTGGCTGCAGGCAGGTAATATTGACTTTATTTATCGTTTCACTTCTCTTGTCGTGACTTTAGATGTACTGTTCTATTAGGTCAAAGTACTCACAGCAACAATGAGAGGAGTGAACCCGACCCAGCACAGCTTCCACCATATACAGGGTCTGTAGCCAATCATCTCCTGGATGTTGTCATAGAACTTGTTCACACCTGCCAGACAAATGAGTCTGGGGTTAAAATAATCATAAATAGTGAGGTGCAGGCTGTGAGAGCTTGGGACTTTGAAGCCAAACAGGAAAGCAGGATTTTTAAATGATTTGTTTAAGAAATTTAGCAAATTCAAACACGATGCACTCGAATGTATGCAGGAGTGAGTTCGCACCATAGCACCAGGATATGGAGATGCACTCAAAGAAGACCAAGAACAGCAGACACATCCCGCTGGCAGAGTAGTAGTCAAACAGTTTGAACACATAGAGTCCACCCTAGACACAGCAAAGGAGACTTGTTTAAAAACATTATTTAATGTAAAATAAAACGAGAACCAAGAGAGCTGCACGGCTGTACTTGTGTGATGTTTGAAAGTCCGATCAGATAGGACACCAGACAGACAGCAGCGATGAAGATCTCTCGTCGGCCTCGGAGAGCCCTGGGGAACTCGTCCACCAGGGCAGTGATGAAGCCTTCCACCGTGCAGAACTGAAGGACAGAATCAGACAAACGGCTTTAAAGGAAGAACAGCCTGCTTTCACCTCGATGCTTTCAAAGTATCTGTTCTGCAGCAATCTGGCAACATTTTATAATCTCGATCAAATGAATGCATGCATTTAAAGACAGACCCGCATGACCAAACACGGTCTTTCTGTAAGCCGTTTTAACGGGAAGAGAGGAAAAATGCCCTGTTGCTATGACATTTAGAACAAGGTTGCAATTTACGTCTTCCACTCTGAAAAGGGTGTGTGTGGTCGCGGTCGATGTGACCTTATTCAAATCACGCTCAAATTAAAGGAACCCAGGCAGTGCAGCCTGGAGGCATTCAGAGGTGATAAAGTTGCATTTAAAAATACTTGACAGCTAATGTCAAAGCTCGTCTGTCCACAAGACAAAGAAAAAAAACTGCATGCTTATCGTGCGGAGAGCAGAGGTGAGATATGCCACTGCTTTTAAATATTCAGGTCAGCCTAAGAGCAGATCATCACCGAGCCCCTTTACCTGGCTGTCTATCCCCAGCATGAGCAGCATGGAGAAGAACAGGATGGCCCAGAGAGGTGAGACAGGCAGCTGGGTTACAGCCTCTGGGTAGGCAAGAAAAGCTAAGCCGGGACCTGGGCGATAGAGAGCAAATTTTGGTTTTATCATTCAGAGGACTGCAAAGAAAAGCGGTCGGTGACAGAGAGCCGGAGAAATCTGAGTCAGAGCAGAGCCTTCTGCAGTTACCTGAAGCTGCTACGTCCTTAATGTCTTTCTTTGTCACATGCGCCATGAAGCCAACAATGGAAAAGATGACAAAGCCAGCAAACATGCTGGTACATGAGTTGATGCAGCACACAATGACAGAGTCTCTGGGGAGAGGAAATATAAAATGGGGCTGCTGTTAAAGGTTTAAATTGACTTTTTTTCCCCATTTTGTTCTGACCTTTCCTAAAAACCACACAAGCCTCTGAAAGCAAAGCCATCAGAGTGCTTTTATGCTTTTTTTTTAAATTCAATTCCACGGCGGAGAAACGAAGAAAGGGCTTTCCTTAAAGCAGAAAGCTGCACATTCTAGTTGAGAACCTAAGTTCGTTTGCAGTCGTCATGTAAATGTGATAGAAAGAGGAATGAATTTGAAGCAAGCTCACAAGAAGCACAAAATGAATGCAACTGTTTTACGTAACTGAATGTTTATGTGACCCAGAACCGTGGGCCTGTTAGGGGAAACACTCAGACGTCGCAGCAACAGAAAAAACAGCCTTCTCTTCTGCTTCTTATTGCAGTTGCAGCAAAAATCTACAATAATTGGACATTTGAGATGTCTTAATTAAAATTATGGGCCAATTGTGTTTTTACTGCAGTTGTCTTCAGCTGTTTCTAGGTTATTGTCTCATAAATGGAGAGCAGCCTTACCTATAAACATTGTTATTGAAGGTGTTATAGCTGCCCAGAGCTATAAGTGACCCCAGTCCCAATCCGTAGGAAAAAAAGATCTGGGTAGCTGCATCCAGCCATACCTGACAGAGGAACACAGGGGTGGAGAGACATGAGTTCAGCTCAACTCGGGCGTGCAGCACATCGCTGTGAGTCACACAAAAACACGCCGTTACCTCTGATTCTTTCAGCTTCTGAAAGTCAGGGGTGATATAGAACAGAATTCCCTCTTTAGCTCCGGGTAGAGTCACCCCACGGATGAAGAGAATAAAGAGCATGAAGTAGGGGTACGTGGCCGAGAAGTAAACCACCTGTAAAATGGAACACATCCATCAGCAGAGCATCACAGCACCTTCTACAAGCTTCGAGGTCTGTTTTCACCAGCTTTTGTAGTTTTAGATTTTTGTAACAGAACATGAGAAAACATTCAGTGCAGCCTGTGTTTCTGTGCTTTTATGAGATTGTTGAGGCTCTTGGTGGGGGTGTTGTACTTTTACCAAAACAAATGTTGTTTTCCACGGTCATGTGACGAGCTAGACTTTTAAAATGGAGCGCCACATGAGGGAGAAGTGAAGGCAGAGGACAAATCCAGATTGTTGGCGGATTGCTGCTCCTTCTATCATGGCGCCACACTCTCTACGGAAAATTTGTCAGGAGGATTGGAATGAGGAGCCACCAAGAGGTGGAGCAGGTTTAGGGAAATGTGATGTCTGTTATTTTAAAAATTAATTCTGGACAGTGCTGAATGTGATCTAAAAGATTGATGAGTTGATATTTGACTGTTTAATATTGCATAGGTGTCACAAACCTCCCATTAGGGGGACTGGGATTGCCAAACCTAGCAAGCATCTTACCTTTCCTGTCCAGCTAACTCCTTTCCAAATACAGAAGTAGACGAGGACCCAGGCGATGGCAAGTGTTATGGCCAGTGGCACTCGGATCTGGCCTGGTTTCTCCAAACCGTCAGTCATTTGATGCATGTTGTGCCTGTGAAGTCAGAGCAAGCAACACACGCACGCACGCACATGCACACGCACACACACACACACACGCACACACACACACACACACACACACACACACACACACACACACACACACACACACACACACACACACACACACACACACACACACACACACACACACACAGATGTAACCATGCAGCAGAGGAGCCAGGAAAAGAAGAAAAGGACAGAATCTTACGTCCAAAACTCGTTCACAGCACTGCTCAGGTTGGTGGTGTCGTTGATGGAGTAGTTGGTGTAACATAATTCTGTGTTCCATGGATTGTTACAAGAGCTCCATGGAAGTTCCTAAAAAAGAAAAAAAAATCCTAACAATTCCAGGGATTTTATAGCCTTTTATACCACATGGATCATGATTTCCTGGTGAGTTTTGACCTAATGTTGGTTTAACTGTAAAATACTTACAGTGGCGAATGAGTTGTACAGGTAGTAAATGGCCCAAGCAATAATCACTATGTAGTAAATATTAAGCCAGAAGGACAGGACAGCAGCTGCAAGGCCCACACCTGGTGCACAAAACATGTTTGAATGTGAGTTTTAATAATGAAACGTTTCCTTTATTATAGCTAATTGGTAAAGATGCATTTTGGTTTATTTACCTTTGAACATAGGAGCCAGTTTCCACACACCAAGCCCTCCAATGGACGTGTACTGACCAAGTGAGCATTCCAGTAGGAATAATGGGACCCCAGCAAATATCAGGGTCAAAAAATAGGGAATCAGGAAGGCTCCTGGGTGGATAAAAGTACACCGGGTTACCACATTACAGGGAAGCAGCTAGTATTCTTGGGTAAATGAGTGGATCTCACTAGGAGCAGATCATGTTTACCTCCTCCGTTTTTCCCACAGAGATAGGGAAATCTCCACACGTTCCCCAGTCCAATTGCATAACCCACGCAAGACAGGAGGAAATCAAATTTTCCCACCCATGTTTCCCTGGCAGGCAACTCCTTTTTGTTCTTTTCGGGTTTGACGTCCAGTGATTTGGGTTTGTCATTGTTAGTGGCCACCTCGTTCAGTTCTGTGACTTGTCCGTCCGTTTTGGTGCCGTTCGTTGCCATGTCTCTGGATTTGACAAAGGTCCTGGCAGTAGGACGTGAGACTTCAGCACCAGTCCACGTAGACAGCAGCTTCGCGGTTTTTGCAACTGACCTTCGGACCAAATGCCTTGAGATGAAGCCTGCGCGCACACGACGGGTCAGTCTGCGTTAACCTACAGATCGGATAGAGCAGTTGCTTTTAGATTCAGGGGTGGGCGCAGAAGATATGGTTACCTATCAGACAAAGATGGACACATATTTTTCTGCATTCATTTGTGCAGGTGCGCAAAACCAACCAACCAGAATAAGTCTACTTTAAACACACACTAAAGCACACTACTGCGTCCTCTGATTATTTGGCACCGTGACAAATTTCCATTCACGTCAGACTCAACAAATGCCAAAACTAAATAAATAAATAAATACGAATCATCGATGGCAGCAGCATGCTGACTGATTTGCCTCCACAGCTAAAACACAGACGACAGACAGATTGTGCGTAATTAATCAGCCAAAAACAGAACAGCAGACTCGGTAGCCCAAACAAAGTCTGAAATTAAATATACTAAAAAGGGAGGAAAAGAGAGGAGACGAAAGGCTGGCAGCACAATCAGAGAAGAAAAAGTTAGATGGAATTTATAGGATCCAAAACATGCACCTGAAGCGCAGGACGCAGCGTACCCAAACCGTCTAGCCTATGAGATTTAAGCACACAGTCCATCAATAACCACCTACAGACTCTCCTAACTGCTTTCCTCATACAGAGCTGGAAGTAGTGGGGATGAAAATAGGTCTCCAGCGAACTGAGAGACAAAACGCACGGTGGGGACAAAGGGACGTCCAATGCGTAAAAGCTTTACGCATCTGTCTGCACACATTCTACCCAACTAATTGAGAACTCTGCTCGCTGTGTAACGCGCCGGAATGCGCATCTGCATCAGCAGAGCCCTTCAGACCAACACTCATCGATCCCGCATGTGATTGGATGTAGATCTGGTTTAAAGCACCTCGCGGGTTTTAAACCCCCAGTAACAACAGCAGCTGCCAACAATCCAGCCATTCTACCACCGCAAAGGGACAGATGTCCACCTTCCCTCGTGCAGGGTAGAAAAACAAAAACACAATGCAAAACAGACACACGCAATGATTCGGCAGCAGGTTTTACTCACAGAGAATCTGAGATCTGCACCGCCGAGGATCCGCTGCTCGCCACAAATCTCTAAACGAGGTATCCGCAGGTTCCTCCCTAGGGCGAAGTTGTAAACTCCCGATGTCTCTTGCAACATAAAGAGGTTTTGCTTCCATTAAAAGACTTAATGTGGAGGGGGGCTGGTAGTGTAGATGGTCCAAGCTGGAGCTGTCCAGCGGGTAGCAGTGCTGAAGACCAGGAGGAGGAGGAGGAGGAGGAGAAAGAAAGAGGAGGAGGTTGAATTAACACGGGTAGCAGCCGCTTCGCCTTGTGCGACTGTCTAACATCAACAACCAGACTCAACTCCCATCCACAGCCTCAATGTCATCTGAAAGTCGCTCCCCCCCTTCACCCCCCCTCCCAGTCCTCATCCATAGGTTGTGCTGACATCACAACTGCGTGTTCAAATGTCAGTTTTGCTCCTTTTATTTATAAGAAATTCAAACATTTTAGTCTTAATTATCATTAATGCGCAACTTTCATGATGAAATAAAAATCCCCCCCCCCCCCCCCCCCCCGAGTCAGGTGCTAGAGTGTGAGTTATTCAAATTTTTTGTTTGTTGTTACTGCTGCCACTATCCAAGATGTGAGCCCCTCTCTCCGCACACACCGGAAAAATCAGAGAAAGCCAGAAATGGCACCCCTCCTACCCCCTGTTATCAAAAGGTATGACCGTGGTGCAAAACACAGACACACGTGGGGGGCAATGTAAGCAGCAGCTCAGGTCCAAACGCAGACATCTGAGGCCATTGTGATAAAAGGAGCCCATTGGTAAAGGGAGGGAGCATCAATGCCTGGTCTCTCCTGAAGTCGACGTTCTCCACAAACCAGGGGATGATATGAGGAGGATAAACCCGAGGAGAGACGAAAATACTCCAAAGAATGGGGACGTATCCAGAGACTCATCCAAGTGGACTTTTTTTGCATTTCTTTGAACCAAAAGGCAAAATCTGGACAAGAAGAAAGTTTAAAGGGGAGCTGGTTGGCTGTAGACGAAACGGTAAGTGTGGCTGGAAATGGTTCCAACTTCTAATGTTCTGTTGGTGTGTTTTTCACCCTGCTCTCACTTTCTTCGTTAAGGGAAAACAACCAGGAACTCGCCTTTGTTTGTTTAAAGTTGCGCATGCAGAGTGATGTGCAAACTGCTGGAGAGACCAGGAGCTTTGCACCAGCCTCCATCCTAGTCTGACAGGGTAGCAGATGGCGAACCAATGAGGGGTGAACTAACCCACTAAATGTTACCACATGAAATGCAGCATTTAAAATCCCATCTGGTCGGCCGTCCCCATGGACATAAAGTGTGAAACATGACACATATTTATACACCTGCTGATGGAGCACACGGGCATGTTGCACTGGGCTGGTGACACGTTCCATCAGCCAGCTGACCTCTTAACCCCGGAGCTTTGATTTCACTCAGCCTGCTGCTCTTTTTACATTTTTTCCCCCCATCAGCCGCCTTCAGTCTCCTAATCTGAATGTGAAGGCTGCTCGTAGCTCCTCGTGAACGTTGTGCTCCATTAGGCTGGAATGACTCGGCCTTTCTTCCGATGGCTTTCAGAAGGAGATTGAGGCTGGCCCAGTGTGGGTTTGTAGCGTCCTCCTAGTCCACTCGTCACTTTAAAGGTTTGTGCACTCACGTGGATCATGATTTATTACATTTGGCTCTAATTATAAATAGATCAAAGCCAAGTTTCTAATATGATTTTCTGCGTTTTATTATTCGGCAGAAATAACAGAAGAGAAAACTATAATTAAAAAAGATGAAGCTCAATAGTAAAATCTAAATCCTGGCATTTCAGATAGAAAAATGATCAAATATGAAATCTGTGTCTGCAAACATATTTTTTAACGGCCCACCTTGAGACAGTCTTTTAGCTGCTCGCTAATCTGAGAAATTTCCTGAGTATTTCCGGAGTTTTCTAAACATCTCTGCGGACTCGCATGTTTTCAGCAGCATTCTGTCATTTGTCATTTGAAGCCACAAAGTGAACTGATTAGCATGATGATTAGTCATTAGCATGCAAATAAAAAGCAATTAACATATTTTATTCATGTTGTCGCTGGGTTGTTTTTCCTCCTCACGGGTACAATGGTGTACACATCCTGTTTTACTTTCATTGCAAGCATGCGAGTCGTTTCTGGTGACCGGTGCCAGATGTAGGATTTTACATGTGGAGGTTTTGGGTAAATAATCTCAGATGCAGGATGGATCAGTAGTTTATTTGATAGCAAATAAGCGATGATGCTAAATGTTGTTTTAAATGTTGCAGCAAAGGAAAATTAACCCTAAAAGGGCTCTTTTAGGCCTAAATGGGAATAAAATTGCTTTCAGATCCTTTTTTCTGACAGCAGCGGAGAATCTAAGATAAAAACGTGTTGTAAAACGACCAGGCACACTGTCAGAAACCTTAAGGTGCAGACTTCTCCCCTCTTGCTGTCTAATCTTCATTTTTTGCTGTGATTGCTGACACATTTTTAACGTGAGCTCTGTGTGTGTGTGTGTGTGTGTGTGTGTGTGTGTGTGTGTGTGTGTGTGTGTGTTTATGTGGTTATTTTGCAGGGAAAATATTGCCTAAATGAATATCTGATGATGTATTTTCAGCATGAAGCATAAACACAATGTATACACTGCTCACATGACAACTCTCTGAGACGTTACACCTCCTTGTGTGGTAAAATCAGTGCAGTATACAGATGCTCTGATGTGGCTTCCTTCAGATTTGTTTACCGTGACCCAAATTGCTGTGAAGTAAGAACATCAGCATCCCTGTCTCGCCTTTTCCTTCCATCCTTCCTTGCGTCTCCTTCGATCTGTTTCTCTCTAGGCCTCCTGCTCGCGTGCAAACACACACACACACACACACACACACACACACACACACACACACACACACACACACACACACTTTACAAAGAGGAGAAATGAGCTGAGAGGACATTTTTGTAGCACACAGCCTCAGCCGGATTATTTGCTCGACTAGCGAGCGATCTTTGGAAGTAAGAATCGTTGATATTCAGGGATTCAAAGTGAAGAATCCTTAGACTTTGAGAATCATTCTGCATCATTTGTCAGTTTTTTCTTAAATTTTCCTTTTTCAAAAGATCAAATTTAATTCCTCCATTCCAATGAGACATTTTTTCTTTGTGGATTCAGATGTGGCATTTGCTATTAATCCGAAAAGCGATGTTGTTTCCCCAAACCCGTAGATGGAGACAGTCCTGATTGTGGAGACGTTCAGCTCCTGTGCAGGTTTGGTTTACCATGTCTTGCATGGACAATCGGGACGAGACAGGTACTCGTGCTGATCTGCTGACTGCTGTGTGTGACATCCAGCACATGGTGTGGATTAAGTAAACATCTGACCTCCATGAAAACCGGTATGGGGGCTCTAAATCGCTTCCATTTTTGTACATGTGTTGCTAGGCAACAGCATAATCGCTCTTCGTCTCCCCCTCCTTACATGGCTCTCTACTGGGATTGCTGTGCTTAGATCCCTGAAAATGGTTAATTAACTTCCACAAAAAGTCCATTAATGGTGAAGATTAGGCTTTGACGGTTAAAACGCACAGCCAGGGCTGCACTGAAATATATGCTAATGTGCAAACAAATGTCAAAAGTTCAAAAGAGGTCTCTGAAACACATGATCCCTAAAGCAGGACTCTATCCAGACTCTGCAGCAGCAGCTTGAACAACTGCGAAAGAGCACAGAATCAGAGTCCTGAATCAATCGGTGCACACTGGCTCGAACGCTGACAAAATAATTCACACACACCACGGCTCTCATTAGCCTGAAACGATCTAAAACAGTTCCACAGGCTGCAAGAATGAGAGGCTCCTTGTATGAGCAAGCATCCATGTTATCAGAATAAACATACATACGTGTTACTGCTGTTCTCTAGAGGCAGCTAATGGTTTAGTTTCTAGGTGTAAAATAATATAATACGATGTTTGAAATGAAACAACTTTTATCATCAACACACGTTTTATTCCATCACAGATAAAATGTCCAGAGTTCTGGTTCAGTGAGCTGAATAGCATTCCTGTCACTGAAATGAAGACGGCACAGAGGGCACGACTCCTGCTCGGATGTTTGCATCTTATTAACTAAACGCGTAGGATATCCACACAAGTTCATCTTTTGTTTATTACTGGATGTTCTGAAAATTTCCAAGACAAAGACTCCTTTCATTTAGGTAGAAACATCTTTTGAAGAGGAAATATTTTCAATGAGGCCTATGTTTGTTCTGAACCGGAGAACTGGTGTGCTTTTATTTCCTTATTGTATTTCCTTTTTAAAGAAATGTTTAAAATTTCTCCAGGAAACAGAAGAACCCCATCACCATTGTTTATTTTCTCCAAGTTATCTGGAACTATTGGGACCTCATTAGCTACAAGAGCAAATGTGAAGGTACATAAAAGCTATGTTACAAAAAATGCTAAAATCAAATACAATATTAAATAAGTACAATAAGGGCAACACAGTCAGCTGGACAGTGGCACTGCTGCTAGTGCTGTTACCTTGCAGCAAGAAGGTCCTGGGTTCAAATCCCAACCTGGGATCTCTCTGCATGGAGTTTGCATGTTCTCCCTGTGCATGCGTGCGTCCCTCCGTGTACTCCTGCTTCCTCCCACAGTCCAAAAACATGACCGTCAGGTTAACTGTTTCTCTAAATTGTCCTTAGGTGTGTGTGTGCTTGGTTGTTTGTCCTGTGTGTCTCTGTGTTGCCCTGCGATGGACTGGCAACCTGTCCAGGGTGTACCCCGCCTACTTGCCCAGTGATTGCTGGAGATGGGCACCAGCCCCCCGCAACCCCGCGTGGGCAAGCGGGTGTTGACAATGGATGGATGGATGGATGGATGGATG